GCAATCCAGAGGCGGCCGTGGATAAATTGGCTGAGAAGCTGGGAGATAAGTTGCTCAAGATCGACATGAAGGACACGTACCAGAACTTTCTGAAGCTCAGCTGTACATTTGTGGCATTCTAAGTGTTTTGCATTTATGATCGTTTGATCACTTATCAGGGGCATCTTGGATAAATAACTAAATAAATAAATATAAATATATATATATGTATATATAAATGGCGGTGTATATATATATACACATATATATATTGTGTATTCATGCTGTTCGATTTCCCTACCTCTCGAGGAAATCTGCCCAGCGGATTTGTAACAAGGCCGGCATTGGTCCGTGCTCGAACCGCAAGCCTGGCAAGCACCTTCCAAAAAGTCATCCGTCAATCCAAAGAGTACAAGACTATGTAAAACTCCAGACAGAGTCAAAGACAGTGCATCCCCTATTGGTGGGGAATTTCGACCAGGTGTGGTCGTTACAGTACCGTCCAGCAAGCTCATCACTTCAGCAGAGGCCTCACTGCGATGGATTGGCGAAGAGCATGAGCATGCGAAAGTTGCGCCACAAGATTGAGCTGGGATTCAACATGGACCCCACCGAAAACGTGGATGAGCACCGATTTCGCCAGTGCAGTGAAGAGTATGTGACAGGCAAACTGGCGGCAAACTGCGCTGTCGAGCAATGGCGGATGCCACATACGCTTTGCACTCTCAGCTGGAATGACGGGAGAATAGGTCGCGGGTACGCGACTTTCAGGAAAGATGCCATGTCTGACGCAGATCGAGCGAAAGCATCTGAGGCAGGCATCCATGGAGAGTGGAGTGGAGTGTAGAGCGGGGAGATGGGGCTTCTTTTGGAGAAGTGCTGATGTCTGTATTCAAACTCTCTTTATATATATATAGATAGATATTGTTCAACATGTGTATTAGTATATGTACAGCATTCTAAGTCTACACGCATGAAAAGCATTTATCCCTTTCAGGAGCTGGCCGAATGGATTGAACTGGGGCCAGCGCAGCTGAAAACTCACATCTGGACGGCGGAAACCTTTCAGTGCTACCTGGAGTTTTTAGCCAAGGAAGTCAGGGCTCGTCGCAGATCTCTGAACCTGTCTTTGAAACACAGGTGTTTGGTGTTTTGTGACGCTGCCACGCAGCACTCCAGTGACAAGTATGCTCGCTTGCAAGAGGCCTGGCAAGAGCAACACAACATAGCCCCCGAGCAGCAATAGCAAATCTGTTTGGTTGCAAATATTATATATTTATATATATACTTCCCCAAACAGTTTACTGTTGGGGTTCTATCTTAGAAAAAAAGGAGCTGGCCACACTGAGAATCGTTTTTGAAACTGTTTGGGGTCTGGCATAATTATATATAATACAGATAAAGCTCCATTTTCCTGGCATTCTAAGACATTCTAAGTGCGAGGTTCTGCTGACTGGGTCATCATGCGAATGTCCCATCCCTGGTGGCTTTGGTGCAGCTGCCCAGCCCAATGATGGGTGGCACAGCCATCTCCACACGCTGACCAAAGCATACATGCAGTGCGCCATCGCCCGTGGATCTTCTTTGAGAGTTCGACGTCAGCTGGATCAAATGGAGATGGGGGTCCAAAGTTCAGTCGTTTGCAAGCCATTTTGCAGCACTTGTATATCTTTTGGCGTCATTTTGCCCTCTTGAATAGCTGATACGATACTATATTGTGTAATTGCAGGTGTATATATATATATAGAGAGAGTTTGCATATCCACACTTTTGTTTCAGCGGCTTTGCAGTTGCTGAGGACCTCTTTATTGACAGCCCTTCGAGCAGATGCCTACGCATTGAAGAGTTTGGACGGATTCGAGCAGCGCGCATGCACGTCAGGATTCCAGTCCTCCTTGTACAAAAAAAACAATTCTGGTGTGTATATATATATAAGTATATATATATATATTATATATATATACAATTGAAACATTGAAAAACAAACAGGGGTCAATCAAGTTCTTGGAGATGTATATATATATATATATATTAACAGCTGAGGCAAGGGCGTTTGATTTGGTCTGCTTGGGTGCGGAGAGGGTTCAGCACTATCGAGCACATTGCGAAATACCGGTTTGCAGGCCAGCGTGACTTTAGTGCTACCTGTAAAGATTGAAACTTTTGCTTACTCTGTGCGTGTATATATATATATATTGTAGTCTTATATATATATATACACACTCACAATATCCCACAATGAAAGACTAAATCAAATACAGGCATTCTATCTGTGTGTGTAGAGAATGGAAAACGCATGAACACACATCACTGTGCAGGAAAGTTGGACAAAGCCACTGCCACCATGAATCGGAATGACGCAGCAATGCTGGAGTTGATTGCATTGACCAACGTCCCTGAAACCACCGGCTGCCCAGAAGACCTAGCCAAACTAAAACTGCTGCGCGATGTGCCACTGGAGGGGGAAGAGGAGATCATGTGGGCAATCCAACAGGATGACACACCCAGCACAAGGCAGGTTTTGCCTGAATGGATTTCAGGTCCAGTATCGCGGCAGCTGATGAGGTGGGCGAGGGAAGCCCATGCATGGGACATCAAAATGGCCAGGAGGTCAGACGGTGAGCTTGCACCAGCTCAAAGAAAGAAATTTGAGCAGTGGAAAGAGCACACCCAGGAGAAGTACATGTTTTTCAACAAGAAGCACCGGCAGCAGGTATTGCATACGATTGACCCTGCGAGCCTGCAGCGGGTACAGAAAGAGGTGTTTGTCATCCTCAAGCCTGACACTGATGCCTCGAAGCTGAAGCTGCAAGCAGGGAACGGAGATTCTCGCCAGTTGGTTGCGTTGAAGGGCATTCCGGTTCGCGAAGCTGACGCACCTGATTTTCTCAGCGCAGCAATTCTGGATTTAAGCTTGGTCCCTGCTGAGCCTGCAGATTTGGAGGAGGTCGTGGAGGAGGAGAAGGAGCAGGAAGATAATCCTTCAGACCTTGAGCAGATGGAGATGGAGCGGGCAGAGAAGGAGGACGCCGATCTGGAGCTTTTGCTCATGACTGAAGATGAGAAGGAGATCAGTGAGGAGCTGCCACGTCACAAGCGCATCAAGACTTTCATGCACCGAGATGCCTACCAAACTCTTGCTCGCCGCAATTTGACTGATATCCCCACGTCTGTGACTGGCATTTGCATAGGTTGCCATAGCACTACAAGATGCTGGCAAGGCTTTGTGCCAGAAGTTCATCAGGGATTGAGCTTCTCCTGGGGAGGCACAACGGGCCGATCAGAGATTGAGGCGCTGGTGCAATGCTTGAAGGGTATCTTGAATGCCTACATCGACCGATTTCCGCGCGAGTCTATCTGGAAGCTTTCTTTTCTTAAGTCCAGAGTGCATTTTCTTGTTGTGTATATATAGAGGCTATAGGGAAACTGAGGAGGAAGGTGACAGGGATGGTAAGGGTAGGACATTCCAAGTGGGTGTGTTTGTTTAAGGCGTCAAAAGCATTCCCAACAATGGAAGCAAAACATGTTTTATAACTATGTATATATATATGTTATTATATATAGTGAAGCTTCTAAGCCAAGGATCCGACAACTAGAGAAGCTCAAGCACGCTGAGCTGAATCTAGACAAGCTTTGAACGCAGAATGCAGTGGGCTTGGAGGTGCTTGGGATCTTTGATGCACCTTGTGTGGCCCATCCAATCCACACACCGGCATTCTAAGTGTGAACACTTGGATTGTGTTTTTTTGTGATTTGTTTCCATGTGTTAAGCTTTTGTTCAAACGCCTTTCCTGTGTTCAGATGATTCACTTGAATGATAGCATATGCCGATGAATGCATGTAGATCAAACCAGCAGAGATTGATTCTGTTCATGTAGCAATGAGCGGCATTCTATGTGTTTAAAGGTTGACTGCAAAACAAATCTACACACAGCTAGCTTCTGGAGAGGATTTTGGTTGCGAAAGAACTCATTGATCACAACGAGTGTTTCGCATGTTCTTGCTTCATGGACGCCACCGGGCAAAAAGCCCAACGGCTCTGCTGCTGTGAATTTGTGACCCAATCTGCATTCCATTCCAAAGGTTCTGCGTCCAATAGTTCAGATAGCTTTTCTGTCTCTTGACTTTTTGGCGTAAAGGCACATATATATGTATATACACACAGTTTTTGTTGGATCAGGAATTGGATGTGGATGCTGCTAGAGCTATATATATATATATATTGCTCAGACTCCAGACTCTACTGGGTTGAATTTGTACAGATCAGCGTTCCAGGTGCTGGCATTCTAAGTGTGATAGAATGTTGGTTGCTTGGTATCTTTCTATTTGGTCAAGGAAATCCTCAATAATTATATATAAACAGTTTATGAGTTTATCTATCTATACATTCAATATCATTCAGTTGTTGGTTGGGTATGGACCTGGACGCAACAAAATCCCGAAGTCGAGGCAAAAATCCGAGATCCTGACGGGCATTCTAAGTGTATATGTGTGTTTATGTATTATGAGCACTTATTTATGGTTCAAGCCTGACAGGAATCGAATTCATGTGTGCAAGTTTGAGGACAAAGCAAAAGGAAAGAGGGGAACAAAAAGGTTTGCGAGAAGACTTCTTGCATGGGTGTCTCAAAAACAAAGGAGACTGCAATGTGTGCCCTTTGTATGTACATTAGTTGGGCCTTTCTGTGGATCTGAGATGATCTGAGTTTTGTGCAAGACTGAAATGCTGGCATATGTCAATTCTTCTGAGCACATATATACACATATAAAAGCATTATGACCACAGCCGGACAGAAAGATAGCATGCAGGCATTCTAAGTGTTAAAATCACCGTAGACATTCTAAGTGTTGGAGCACTATACATGCAGGCATTCTATCTTTCAGTCCGGCAGTATAGCTGATGCCGGAAAAAATACATGAAAACCCGAACCATTGGATGGAGACTGGTATAAAGACGGAGGTAGAAGGGCGCTATTTGAGGACTCTTCTTTGTTGAAAAGCAAGTGACTGGAGTGACCCAGGAGACTGCCGACAGCTTGAACTACTGGGATGCTGCGCTTGACTTGGAGTCGCCACTCGCGCACAAGTGCACCTGTGTGGCTGCGGAGAAACCGAGGTTCACATCCTCCAGTCTTTCACAGAAGCGAGTGCAAGGGGGCCCTGGCCAAACAGAAAAGAACTGATGACACATGATTTGTCCGGCTTAGACAGGCTTAGACGGCTTAGACTCTAGACCGTCGCTGAAGCCAAAAAAGCTGGCTTCCTTCTCCGATGATTTTCGTGATCGGAGCCGGAGTCCGAGTGCTTCAGGTGGCCAACGAGTCCCTTCTCCTATGCCTCGCTGAAGCTTTGAGTGTCAACCGGCCTCATTTACTTGTACCCCGTGTTTGCCTAGATGAGATCTAAGCAGCCCTTTCAATTTGCTGAACAGTTTCTTGTGCAGATGCTTAAAGCTACGATCTTTCACATTGTCAAACACACATGTCAAAGGCCTCGCTCAAAGATGATCCAAAGAAAGCCTCCAAACTACCTAACGAATTGATTTTGACACCGGACTCTGAGTCGAGACATCCTAAGGCCAAGACCTCCAAGATGGCGACGAAGCATGTCCTGGACCTTTTGGCCGTCTATGAGGTCATGTGGCACAGCCATGGCACAGTCGTGGTACAGCCGTGTCACAGCCGTGGCATGTGATGTTTATCGAGCTGCTCAGGGGCTCAACATTTCAGGTACTCTTATTGTATCTCATCGTTCTCAGAGTTCACTTATGATCAAACGCTACACGATAATCATATGACATCATAACTAACAACAGGGATGCATCCCCTCCAAGCTGAAGCCTGTCCAAGACTGTGGAAAGCACTGGGATCTCCCCTAAAGTGGTGGCATGAGACTGAACAAGGAGCTTTTTGCAGGCTACACATATGAATGTCTTGAAGGCATCTATATAACATCTATAGCATCAATGAAAACTCACCCGGAACGATCCTATCACATCCGATCCCACCACTTTATCTTTTTTTTTCGCTGTCTGGAAACAGCAGTCGAAGCATATTGACTTGAATGAATGAGCAGGTGAAACACTTGAGCTTGCTGTCACTCTTCAGCCCAACAAATCACTAAAGGCATGTCATGAAAAGGAAGGGAAAAAAGAAAGGAAGAACACAAGAAAGGTCCCAAAAGCTAGACACCAGATCAATCATGCAAAGAAGCCGAGCCTTTTGCCTCCTGCATTTAGTACCTCGTTGTGAGCTACCTCTACCTACGAGCAGCTACCTCCCTACCCTCGTACCACAAGAGAAAAACAAGTTAGATCAAGATAGTAGGTAGTATTGCTTGATACATTATTACTTTTGTAATCGTTTGTTCGATTTGGGGTCCTTTGAGTTGACATTCAGCTTTCGCCAGGCAGCAGATCTGCGCCCGCGTGCCTTGTACGTAGAGCTGCTCCACAGCATCGTCCGGCTCTCGAGGCAGAGAAGAAACGAAACGACACGGAGCCGCGGAGGAGGCCAAATCGGGTAGGATTTGGTGCCCAAACCTCGAAGTCTCAATGTTTGGTGCATACCCATGACTTGATGACGATCCAAGTTGTCACAGAAGCATGTCTTTTTTCGCAAGGCACCGAACCGAAGTAATTAGCTAGGACTTTCTTTGCTGATGAAGTCGACTTTTAGGAGCAAGGACGCTAGAAGCTCCTGGCATCGCTACGAACGGAGCATTCTTTCTATGAGCAAGGACGCTACTAACCCCAAAGACCCGCAGGTCGATGTACGCAGAGGAGGTGGCCTTAACACTTCAAGCACTGGCACGCTATAATATTGGCAATCCAACGGCCACGGCCTCAGTGCCTAAAGTGTAAAAGGATGAACAAACACAAAACCGTCACACTTTCTTGAAGAAGAGCTTTCGTCCTTTCCTTGCTTGAATTTCTTTGGAAAGGCATTTATTGTGTGACACATGCCCTGACATTTGCTTGAAGTGTTTTCAAACATACAGCACTGTATGTACGATGTATGGACGATGTTTGAAGGTTTCGGAGAAGCGATTGCCAAGACTATGCACGTTTTTTCTTGCATAGCACCACTATCCGAGGTGATTGCTCAGTTGATGCGAACTGTGGCGAGCGAGATTAAGGAGTTCAGGCCAAAAACTCAAGCAGCTCAATCATGCTTTATCTAATTGAACCTTTCCACGGAATGTAGCTGGGCAAGCACCACCTGTCATTTCTTTTCAAACCATGCAAACTAAAAAGCAAACACTGGCCTTCAAATGGAAAAGCATCCAATGTGCACTGGCCTTCTTGGAATCGGTCATAAGAGGTTGCGATATCTCTGCGCAACCACCGGTGCTTTGGGTGTGCTGCGAGCTTGTCCAGGACTCAATTGAACGAGCTGAGATCAAGACAGATCATCGTTCGCTGACAATTCCTTGAGCATCATCATGATATTGTAGATTTTCTTTTGTTTTTTCACAGCTTAGCACCTCAATCAATTTGCTTGTGACTTTTCTTCGCTTTTGACTGTTTGAGGTCCACCGGAGCTCTTGAAGATGCTCAACCAACGTGCACGTTTCGAGGCGCTGAATGTGGATTTTTTCGAGGGTTTCTACGTGCACGTTTTAACTGCCTTCGCCCAGAAGCCCAGAAGTTCATCTGAAGATAGCGCCGAATAATACCGTGTTTGTTTACGCTGTGCTGTGCTGGAAGACTGTGCGAAGGTGGATACCATCAATGTGCAGGAGCTTCTGGATAACATCCAGGCACCTTGGAGGATAGGAGCCACAGAGTCTCATCTTGAACGAATGAGGCCTTTCCGCAGTTGGAGTACTCCTGGCAGCCGTATGAGGACGCCCTCCTGTGACCGACCTCACTGCGATGTTTTGACACAACCATGATGCCCAAGAACCTGATTCAATCAATCCATTTCTTTCCATCTCCAACCTACTAGCAATGGCCTCCAACCTAATGGGAATGGCCTCCAACCTAAGAGCGATGACCTCCAACCTAAGAGCGATGGCCTCCAACCTAATCAGGATGGCCTCCAACCCATTTCTGTCCTATTCTTGAGAGCCGTGACAATCACGGTCACCATCTGGTCGTTTTAACTGGTAAACCATAACCAGACATGGTTTCTGCGAGTAGCGCTGCCCACGAGGACCTTTGCCTCGAGGAGTTCATGGCGCGTGTCGCAAAGTTCCGCACGGCCGAAGTGACTGGGACGTGTGGTCCATCCAACTCTGGACCTCTAGTAATGCACATGAGATGAAGCTACTAGGAGCAAAGAAGCTACTAGGGGCTCCTGGCCTTACTACTAGGAGCAAAGGACGCTACTAGGGGCTCCTGGCCGTACTACTAGGAACAAGGACGCCACTAGTAGCACGTTCCCGGATGTCAAAGAATTTAGGCTCTTTAGGAAGGGGCAGAAGCCTGAAGCTTTTGAACTGTAACAGAAAGGCTGGGACGATACCATGTGCTCGTGTAGTTTTTCTGTGTTCGAGGGTCTTCAGGTCGCCCTTGCCAATCGTAGATGAACCTGACAAAGCCGAAAACATAACCCGCTCTTGAGCATGCAGTTGAATCCTCTTTCTTGAGTTCAGAAAGCTGCCTGCAAGAGAGTGTAAAGATGTGTAAAGATCAAGCTTGATGACTTTGCCCAGGATGTAGATCAACTGGTGGATCCATTTGAAGGATTGCTCTTCTTGCACTCCAGAAATAAGCTTGATGCTGGCTACCTTCGAGCGCTCTGCCAGTGGTCGTTGAAGGGTGTGCACCGACCCAACGTACGCTCGGAGCGGCGGCCGACATCTAAACAACTGGTGATGCTCTATGATTTCTGCTTCGAGCAACTAGGAGCCAGCTTGATCAGCTTGGTGGTTCTTATGACAAACCAACGTCTTGGGTTTTAACAGTGAGAGGTAGAGTGTTGAGAAAGGATCCCGTTCTTTGAGCCTTTCTTGCTTGTTCCAGGCATGGCATTGAGGAGGAGCCTGCGTTACAAGATACTTTGGCATACTTTATTGAATCTGGAGGCGGTATTTGGCCCGAGCGCTATGCTGAGCCGTTGAGATATAAGAAAAAACGCAAATACATCCGTGGCCTGGCTTTGGATAACGAAGCCTCAGGTTCTCAGAGCCTGCTTCTTGTTTTTGAGTTCTTACAGTAAATCAAACAAACGTTTTTTTTTGCTTCAAATCTCATATACATACACATTGTTTTGCTGTAAATCCATACTATGCAGCATCATTTGACGCTTGAGGTTCGCAGGTACATAAACCAACAGATAGGTTTTCAGAATCATGTTCAAGTTTTCTTCTATTCACTATCTATTCATTTTTTTGGTGTTGAACATGGTCTTCAAGGTACCGATGATCCCCTGAAGGATGTGGAGTTGCCACCGCTGGACGAGGATGGAGTGGTCGTGGCGGAGGAGGTCAAGACTTCGAGAGCTGAATCGATCTACGGCGAGGAGTGGGAAAGCCGAAAGCCGCTAAGTCCGATCTTGTATATATGCTAGTCCGATCTAAAGCGATCTTTTCTTTGGACTCCGGAAATCTTGCAAGATAAAAATATCTTCAACACCGGAAAACTACAGTCTTTGTCTTCCAGGAGTGGTTTCAGAAGGGTATGACAAACCCAGTAGCAACCTTGACCAATACGACAAACACACGGATGAGTTGCAGAGGCTCGCTCAGATTCGCAATTTCTTGAAAGGGTTCCTGTGATCTTCTAGGGCTCCTGGCATCGCTACTAGGAGCAAAGAGGCTACTAGGGGCTCCTGGCCTTACTACTAGGAACAAGAAGGCTACTAGTAACAACGGGCATCGCTTGTCTGAGATTGCCGCGAGGAGAGCCCCAGAGTCGTGGCTTCGCACGGCAAGAAGCCTTCGGGCCCATCGCCACTGTTGGAAGATCCTGAGGACGAGCTCCCATCGCGTCGTAGATCAAACCATGGAAACCCCCCACCGAGCTAAAGAGACTCTGTAGCGATCGTAACAAGAGATTCTGTGGCCCCATGTAGTATCTCTGTAAACTGGGCGAATCCTTACCAAAACAATCCAGGCACAACCCAAGCACAAACTGAGTTGGCTGCAGCCCACAAAGAGCCCTGGTACTTGGAAAAGGAGACGACCTCCTTTGGTTGAAGGCTCCCAACGATAGGACAGACAAACCGGAGGCACAAAACCAAATCTGGAATAAACGAAGGCATGGAGATATTGGCTGGAGTGATTGGAATACTCACCTCTCACTCAATTCCTCTCCATACGCATTCAGTTCCATAGGCTTTGCTGTTGGAAAGCGACTGTGTCTAAGTCGGACTTTCTTGAAATTGCCCGCCAGGACACTTTGGTCTACCGAATCAAAGCTCGTTCTCGGAAGGGGATCAGACCTCGGAATCGGGATCCGCTTCGATGCTCAGCTGATTTCGAAAAGTACAATGTACAAGTCAGGGCAAGGGGAGCCAATGCGCAACCGAAGCCACCCTGATTGTTGAGAGTTGCAAACATGCTGAAACATTCCACCTTCTGAAAACCACATGAGAGACAGCAGTCCTTAGCTTTGAAGACTGCCCAGGAAAGCGAGACTTCAACAAGCAAACCGTCCCTGGCCCGATGCACCAGTGCTGCAATCCGGGACTTTTGTTGGTTGACGTGTCAGTTGAACCAGATGTAGCATTGAGTAAGTTGAAGAGGTCTTGAGTAAGTATGATAATATGTCAATGTATTGATATGTGATATGAGTAGGTAGCAAAGCCAAGCAAGCTGCTGGTGCTGCTGCCATGTCATGCCTAGGTGGTACTACGGTAGCTGGGCCATGCGACCCAAATATCAACCTGGTCGAAGCCTTGGTCCACGCTATCCTTGGCCACGTGTACCCGTCGGGCCCCGGGGTGCTTCCTGGGTCCTACGAAGGCGGACCGTCCGACTCAACGAGCTTCGGAAGAAGTTAGTAGCGTCCTTTGCTCCTAGTAGCGATGCCCTTTGCTCCTAGTAGCTTCTTGCTCCTAGTAGTAGGGCCAGGAGCCCCGGGTAGCTTCTTGTTACTAGTAGCGATGCCAGGAGCCCCCTAGTAGCGTCCTTGCTCCTAGGATATCGCAGCAAAAGTATCTTAAAGTACTGTATCTCTGGCAGTTGGTTACTGTGGCAGGTGAGATGGTGAATAGGGCGCCCAGAATGATTCGCATGATGCCACATTGCTTCTTGGGGTGGAGCTGACGAGAGGGGTCCAAGAAGCTAAAACGAAAACAGTGATCCCATAGAGTCAGCATACCGCCAAGAGGTATTTGCTGGTCTGACATGCTTGAATTAGCCACTAATCGCCAGCTTCAGACTTTGATCAAGCTGTTGCTCAAAATTGGATGCTCTGTCGTCAGCTGTCGCCTCCTATGCACTTTCACCCTCGTCGATTTCCCAAAAAGACATCCAATTGGGTGCACCCATGCACAAACGCGCCGGCTTGACACAACGATGCTGCAAACGGCGGAATGTTGGAGTGTGGCCGCCAACTGTGTGGCTCAAGCCGTGCAAAGAAACCTATTGGGAGGTGCCGTGGGATGAACTTTTGAACCCTGATCTGATTGCTTTGCTGGAAGGACAACTTCTGTTTTACACTTTAAGTGTGGAGTGTGGTTGCCAGGAGCAACCAGAAGCAACCATGATTTTTGCGTTTGTTGCTCCAGGTGCTAGCGTCTTTGCTATGTATCCGGTCTACAACAACGAAATGGAGCACTTGGCTCCTGAGTGCTACTCAGACCAGGAAGTGCTCAGATTTGCAACCGGCTGGGATAATTGGGATCCGTCATCCAGTAGGGCCACCCCACAGAAGTTCACATGTGTTGCAGGACCTTGAAGCTGATAGTGATGTCCAGCAGGACCTTCAGCCGATTCAGGCCTCATGCTACCCAATGTTCATGAATCAAGGCTGATGAAAGAGTGCCTCGCAAAATCAGATTCTCAATTCCAAGGTAGAAATACTGACATGCTAGGCAAAGTCCCGTTGTCAGCAGTTGGCTTGGTACTGGATACGGCATAAAACGACAGGCGTGCCGTGCAATGCGACATGGCATGATTGCTATGGCAGTTGGGATCTCAGAGGCTTAGTCTTTGCGCTTCGTGATCTGAGAGCCTGAGACTTTCTCTCCTCACCAAGTTCGAACATTGATGTCCTGCAGGTATTTGCTTTGGTTGGCATCGCTTGCTTAAATTTCAGCAGCCAGGCAAGCCTCTTTCGTGCTTTCTCATCATCGCTGTCAAAATAGGTCAACATGCTGCCTAGATAGGCTGACACAAGGGCTTGAAGGAGTTTGATTGAGTCGTCTTATATCTACGGTAGAACCTTTTGGTTTATAAATTGCTGGGTGCGATGCTGCTCAAACAGCAGGCTTCTCACTCCGCCTTGAAGGATGTGCAGGCACTCCAACAGTTCACGATGTTGCAGCGCAGAGCGCTTCTTGAACACTTTCCTTTTTTTGACACCTTGGAGACCAGATGAAATATACGAAGCGCAAGAACTTACTTTTTCTTAGGTGAAAGCTGGACTCTACAGCAACGGAGCCTTCAACCAATTGCCAGAAGCAACAGCGGCGTCTCCGGCACCTGCAGCACCCGCAGCACCCGCAGCAGCCCCTGTGCTGGGCTCTCAATACACGAATTGAAAAGTACTGCGATACTCCCAGTGATGCGTTCTGAAATCGTTCTTAAAAGAACTTGAGTCAGGGCGCCCGCAGCGCCGGTGCCTGCTGTTCCTGCTGTTGGTGCTGAACCTGCCTCGTGCCTTGGCCTTTGGGAAGCCACACGGACTACACAGCGGACGCCGGTGTTTTGGACTAGACCATCTGGCCGAGTTTTTTTTTTGTCTTCCAGGAAGCCTGTGGTGCTCAACCCACAGATTAACAGCGTGAATGACCTGACGTGATGGCCTCAATTAAACGCGAAGCCAGCAGGCCACCAGGACCCCAGCCATGCCAGTGGAATGGCCGTGACACATGTTGACTCTTGTGATCTTGAGATCTTTGCGTATCCTCCTAGGGGTGGAAACGGCGTCAAGGTGAGTCCATGACTAAGTTGCAGTGGTGAACCTGCCGATATTCATTGGTCACACCTCTTTGCCATTCTGTGTTGCCAAGGTGCTGCCTCTTCCAATCCAATGGCCCCAGATGAGAACATGGCAGATGGCAATGTTGGCATCCCAAGAACTTCTTTTTTGTATTTCATGGAGGGGGGTAGGCCGTAGAGGTAGTAGGTAGAGGTAGCTAGTAGAGACAAGAACGCTCCTACATATGGACGCAGGATAGCTCACGCTTCTTTGAAGAAGCGCTCGCACTATCACGCACTATTCAACTATATATATATATATATTCATTTGGTTCCTAGATTTTTAGGGAAACTTAACTTTTGAGCGAGACATTCCAGGAATGCTGTGACGACGAAGAGAAGTTCGAGAAGCTGTGCTACAAGAAGTTTGGCCCCATGTTCAACAAGTCACAACCAAGTAAGCAAGCTCTCCTGTCAATTGATATTCACATTCTTCCGCATGTCTTCTGGCGCGAGTGTTTGGAGTTGCGACTCATGCTAGCAGTCTGGAGATTGAAGCGTGGTAAACAAATGAGTAGAAAGAAGTGTTCTGCTGAGGTGCTCCATTCTGACAAATGGCCAGTTCGACACACGTGTGAGTCACTTTTCTCGGATGTGGCAAACAATTAAAAAAATACATTGCTGTGGTTCACAGGACACGTTCGTTTCAATTTTCAGAGATGGCCAGGTGCTTTCCAGTGTGCGAAGGGCGGTCAGCTGGAAGACTTCTTCCAGTCCCAGTGTCCTGGACAAGTTTGGACTGGTCGAAAACGAAAGCCACAGAAACGCACAAAAACAACCAGTGCAATGTAAATGCCTCCCCTGAGGGTCCCTGGGAATTCTTAAATGAAATGTAGGGAGCTGGAGGCCATTGCTAGTACTGTAGGTTGGAGGCCATCGCTACTAGGTTGGAGGCCATCGCTATTAGGTGGGAGGCCATCGCTACTAGGTTGGAGGCCATTGCTATTAGGTTGGAGGCCATCGCTTTTAGGTGGAGGCCATTGCCAGTAGGTG